GGCCCCCCCTGCGTCTTTTTTGCCATGCTTATTCCAATTCATGCTGGCATTGCTTCAAGCAGTGGTGAGAGTCCTTGATAGGCTTTGTGTCAGCAGGAGTGAACCGGTTCCCCAGCTTCTAGAGAGGTCTCCTGACACACACCAGTGCCTCTTTCACACTGGTTGCAATAGGAGTAGGCAGCAGCCACCAGTTATGGAGAAGGAAAAAAATGGATCTGCACTCAGACCCTCTACCTGGGGAGGCAGAGGCACCAAGAGATCAGATTCATCTGAAAGGAAATGCACACTGGCAGGCAGACAAGGGATTCCAGGGGTAAAGCCTCAGACAACAGGAAATGGGAGTTTATAATATAAGGCAGAGATATGCAGTGAACAGAGATGGGAGCTGAAAGCAGCTGATGCTTGGACAAGATCAATAGACAGGGCTGGAAAGAGCTTCCATCACCTGGTTGGATTTCAGGACCAGAACATGAGCACCTAGAGAGTTCCAGATCATGACCTAGTTCTGAAAAAACTAAGATACTAGAAGGTTTATGGTAAGATATGTTAAATCTAAAGTAAGTCATGGATCTAGTCACTGGAATCCAGGCCTGACTTCAATGTGCTGAGCTAAAACTAACCCTCACCAAGGTCAAGGTTGTTCCAAAAAGAAATTAAATGAGTTGAGGCAGAATGTGAAATCAAATGACCAAAAACAGAGAGCAAAGGTTGATAACCAAGAACTGGTCAAATGCAAAAGAGTCCCAGGAAATCATGTACTAGAAGGGCATTGAAAGAAAATACTGTTAAAAAATTAAAAATAAACAAGAATTTAATGTAATCATACTAGTTTGTTTGGTTGAAAATTCTTGACTCTCAGTGTGTATTTTGGTACAAAAGGAAAAGAACTAAATACTGGTGTCTGCTAGTTCAGTTTAATATATTGAGACATATTGACACTGAGAGAAGAGGGAGAGAGGGGAATTTGGATCTAGAAAAGGAAGTTCACACAGGGCTGGATTTTCCAGCCCCCATCCATCTCTCTGCCACCAGATTGTTCCTCTAGTGACACCACGGACCTGCTTCATTTCTGTGCAGCTGATGCCCTGTCCGGGCTGATCTTGTTCTAACTGACAGTGAGTGTTCTTGCCAAATGCCAGGGCCCACAGTCACATCTGTTTGTCTCTCCTCTACAGCTTGTCCGAGGCTGCTTGGGAACACATTTTAACCAGGGGGCAGCTTTAACTAGGCCTAATTCTCTGAAAAGCTTTTATTTGTAAATGCACACAATGAAGAGACAAGTTCCTATTGTCTTCTCTTTAATATTATTGTGTTTGACACTGCCTACTTCAGTCCTGTCAGCCAAGTCAAAAGCCAAGTTTTCAGGCAAGGTGGTTGTCACTAGGGTTATGTTTCTGTTTCATTTTGTTTTGTTTTTTTAATTTCAGGGGTTTTTTATATATATATTACTTTTTCCCTCTAGGTAAGATGCCCTGCTTCCTACCACCACACTATATAAAAGGAAGCATACAGCAAATGATGGGGATAAGCTGAGTGCAGTCTATTTAAAAAAAGCAAAACAAAAGAATTTTCTGTTTAGTTCTGCTTTTGTAATATTTAATAGAAAAATAAGAACTTTAGAAGTAATACATGTGAAGCCATGTTACAAGTCATAACCAACTGAGAAATCCCGAACAAAACATTTATTTATCATTCCACTTAAAGCCTTGTTAGTTTTGATTCGTCTCCTTATACCTCCTTCCTAAGCAAATACTGTAGGTAAATATATATATATATATATATATATATATATATATATATATATATGATGGATCATTTTATTTTAGTGCCTTACAAAAGGATCATATGACTATATTTTAATAATTTTGGACCTGATCATAAGGCATTGTATTTTTATTCTTCAAAACACCTCAGCACAAAGAAAATGAAACAAAGAATTTCAGCTATTACCTTGAGTAATAATCTGAGTGTTTTGCTTTGCAAAGACAGATGACTCATTTATGAAGAAACAAGGCAGCCATTGAGACATCCACTGACTTTAAATTAAAAACGTAACTGCTATGTTTCAGTAAGAACTACAGCTAACTGACATAGAGTAGACCTTATATATTGTTTATTTGTACCAAATGCCTTGCACCCATCTGAAGTAAAGGAGTCCCCTAAATGCAAGCCTAAATGGGGTAATATAACTGATCAATAACCCAGATCTCTCCATGTGCAGTAGCAGGTAGTCCAGTTTTGTTGTTTTTGTTATTCCAGCCCTGCCCTTCCCAAGTTCGCACTAGCATCCCATGGATCTGTTCTATAACCTTTAAGGACTCCAACTGTAATCAGCTGTAAAGACCAAATGCTTTTATGAGGCCTCCTGTGGCACATATGGCACCATGATACAGCCCCTTCCTTCTCTGTTCATGTCACACAGATTGTTCTCCAAAACTACTCTGCAGACATTCTAAACTACTTCTAATTCTCTGAACAGAGCAAACTCTTTATCACTTAGGATTCTTTCAGCACTGCCTTAAACTTTAAGAATATTGATTATGTTTTCACAGAGGACCAGAAGTAGGTGGTCCATGGATTGGTTTTCTAAGCTAGATAACAGAAAAAAAATAGTTCACAATTCAAATTCCCCATTTTATTCCTTTTTTTCAAAATGGTACCTTAATCTTCCCTTTGGCATTCCTGATATCTGAGCTCTTCTGGAATATGCTTTGCAAAAGGAAAACCTTATTACTCCAGTCTTTTGCACCGAGGAGTTTTCAAGAGGGATATGATATATGAAAAAATAATTATTTACAAAAAAGTAACATAATGACTCTCATAAGATGGGTATATGTTAAAGATCTTATTTAACTAATGAATTAATGAGGGAACTAAGCAGATGTTATAACCAGTTCAAAGGAGAAGGCAAAGGAGTACAAATATATATAGCATTAAAGCATACTAAAATGAAGAAGCAAATAGGTAGAAAACTGGCTTTTCCACAGTAGGGAAGCTTGTCCTTCTACAGGAAAATTCATTTGCATTTCTTCCATCAAGAATTATTTCTCATTTGTTTCAGTTAAGTACAGCTTGGGAGCTGTAACATAGCTCCCATAGAATTATAATTAAATGTCCAGAACAGTATACTCTAAAAGCATCATTTTTCCATTGAAGCACAAATTTTCCCCCACAGAAGAAAATGATGTATGCTCCATTCAAAACTTTAGAATTGTTAGTACAGACAAAATAATCTCTAGTGGTAATTAATAAAATTTGTTGTCCCTGCCACCAACAGCAGTATCCATAATTATTTCATATGTATTTATGACTTTATTTCCCCTCTCAGACTTAAAGTTATTACAATAGTAGGAATTGAATACCTTTCCTTTCTTTTATCTTTTTTATTCTTATATCTTCCTAGAAAAGAGGAGGTAGAAGATAGAAGTCTTATGTTAAGTTCATAATTATTATTAGTGTGTACTAAATACATGAATGGATTAATTTTATGCAAAAGTATGTCTGTCCTGTGATTTCATTATAATTCTTTAAATTTCTGTATTCTTTTAAATAAATAAATATGGATATAGCTATTTATTTATTTTTTGGCATCATAATCCAAGACTTAATTTCAAAATCTGGTTAAAATGTTGTAGTTTTGCATGATAATAAACATTTGAGAGCAAAGCAGGAAAAAAAAGTCATTAACTGAATAAACTAATTTTTTGGAATATAGAACTTTATTCTATGGCAGAGAAACACTATGGACTCAATAAAAAGGAAAGAGAAAATTAGATAAATACCTATTTATTGTTAAGCTCTGTTGGTTGATTTTCAAGTATGTTTGTCTTTCTATGCCTTGGATTATTTAAATCATTCTTTGTAACTTTATTTTGTGCATTATAGATGAAACCTATATTTGAAATAATTTTATTCCCATATAATTTTGCAACATCTATAAATCATCTGTATAGATATAGTACAGATATATGTTTATTTTTAACTGTATTTTTTATTTTAGTTTTTTTCTAATAAGCTCATTGTTTTCACATTGGATACTTTTAATATCTTGTGATACTTAACTACCTGCTCTCTGTCTTACTAAAATAACGTATAGTATAATAAACATGCTTCCTTTATTCCAGCTTCTTGATCCTCAGACCTTATTCCAACCCCACATCAAGGACTATGATCCAGGAAATGAACATAGAGTTTTTGGTATCTTGAAATGTTTGTAGGCTTTTAAATCCTTTCCATCTTTGTATTAGCAATTTTGATTTCCAGTTGGGCCATTTCTTATTTTTCTAACACTCTTGAATTTTAGGAGACATAGACAGAATAATGTAATTTTAACTGGGTTGCCAGAACAGCAGAAGGTCCACTTCTCAGGTCTTACATATTATTCCTTTACATTTATAATCCAATATCCTGTTAGAGTATTTAGTACCAACAGACCAACATCAATACAAATTATGTTTTCTCACCTTGCTAATAAATAATTAAGCAATTCTAATCGTATGAATTATAAGGAGAACATCACTATTCCCTTCTATCTATTTAAATAAACGTTTTAAGAGAATTCACTGCTGCATAATATCCAAAAAGAAATTGATCATACTTTTCCTGTAATAAATGTTGTTCTGACAGTAAAGCATTAGTAACCAATTGATAACCTAGCAACAATATTGTGATCTCTTTAGATAATTAATCTTAGCTATTTTCCTGTCAGAAGCAACAGTGTTTGATTTTATGTTGAGCCAGAAAGATTGCCAGTTTTGAAAATTAAAAAGCATTCCTTTTATATTATTCATTCCAGTAACAATTTATGATGGCGCATTTAGCTGCTGAACGCTTGTCAACAAACGTAATTATGTTTCGATATAAACAAGATTGGTGGTTTTACTATGCAGCTCCATCTTTGTTGAGAATGTTTTGATTTAGGTTCAGATTATACAAGCTGTGTATTTATGTGTCATTTTTTTCCTCCTTTGTTAATAGTTTTTTCTGATAATTACTTGTAGGCAAACAAGCATGCATTTAGGATCCTTATGCACAGGAGACATCAAAAGGAGAAGAAAAGCCGCACCTTTGCCGGGACCTACTGCTGCAGGTAAAAAAAAAAAAGGATTGGAGTGGAGCACAAATGTAGAGTTCATAAATCATCAACAATAAAATATAGATAGTTCTTAATCACTTGCACTGGGGGAAAAAAGGCCCAATTGCAAGAAACTATTAAAATATATCATTTGCTTTTGTTATCAGGATGCATCACATGTTTCTTGTAGATTTTCCAGGTAGCCAGTCAATGAAACACTTTCTACACCTCTGCCCAAATGGTAAGATTTTGTGTGAGGTGTCAAAAGATACAAAATTCTTAAAGGCCCTATCTTTGGCCTCCAGAAATTTTCAGAATTACTGGGAAAATAAGGCATAATTAGATGAAACAACAAATAACCCCAATAATAAATTCAAAACATATCACAGTAACATTAAACACAAGGCCCCATGTTGGAGTAGACTGGGAGCTGACTCATGAATGTTGCAGTGTTGTTCTAGGCCCAGTTCAGCAATCTTGGGTTCATCTTTCCTTATTTCAGCAGCATTAATCTTAGAATAAAAAAAAAAAAAAAAAAAAAGCTCTCACTTCTACCTCAAAAATGTAAGTACTGAGCAGAGGAAACTCACCATGGGACAGAGGGACAGGAAGTCTTCTTGGGAGAGCAAAGAGAGCCAAGCGTGGTAGTGAAGGATGTAAATAAAATTAGTATGTATCTCAAGACCTCGTGCAAGAGCAGTGGTAAGGGAGGAACAGACAAGTCAGTGACAGAAGGAAGCTAACGGGGCATTAAAATGTAGACAACACCTATCTATGAATAAACCATGGCTAACACGCATGCATTTACAATGCAGCAAACTCTGACTTCGAGGAAATGTTTTCAGCTTACACACTTGTTACAAAAAGGAATGACCTTGACCTGTTGCCTGGGATCCTTAACCATTCTGATTTATGAACCTTCTCTCAAATTCATTTGAGGATCTTGTTGCAAGAAAAGTGATTTTAATTATAGAATATGAAATAAGATTCATAGCAACAGAAGAATAAGCAGTGAAAAGAAAAAAGATATATGTATATACATAGATAGACTTGAGAATTTTTGTGGTGAGTGTGAAGAAAGTCAAACACACGAAACTTATGTTGTCTATTGAGGGCAACTATTCCCTAGTTCGCACTAGAAATTTGAAGAATAACTTAAAATTTGAACATTCCTATGTAGTTGTTCCATATTAGGAACTATATTATAAAATTATACATTTACTTATAATACCTGATCATCCTCCCCTAGTTGTATTGAATCTTCAGGATTTGCAATTAGGAGATGCCTGCATATATAGAATACTAGGATTTGTATAAGATAATATTTACCATTTGTTCAGCACCTAGGATGTACCAGAAATTTTATTATTTCTTCTTGACAGCAGTTGTATAAGGTGGGTATTGTTATCATTACTTTATAGATCATAAAATTAAAATGTAGAAAACTGGGGTTAGCTACTTAAGACAACAAAACTATTGAGCATATAGAAGAGATGTCAAGCTTAGTCTTTATGACCCCTGATCCCTTGCTCTTTTTATAACAGCATATTTTGTGAGAAAAAATATATATAAAACTGTCCTAAGTACATATGTTGATTTGAACTCTGTATTATCTGCCTTCAGTTTTATAGATTTGTCCCACTATTACTGTGTAGAAATACAGAATATTTATTAGATACTTCTAATGTGTCTCTTCATAAGGAATATATAGTCCCATTTTAGATCAAAGACATGTCATAAGAACTTCATTCAGAGCTCTCATAAGGCAGGTGCAGGTTTCTTTAGCATCCCCATTCCAGTTGAATGGTCCCCTGAATCCTCCTCTCTCAATGATTCAAACATTAGTGGTAGAAACAGTATAAGAACAATCTTAGGAATACTACTAAAGCACCCAGTGGCAGCAGTAAGGGAAAGAAAATAATATCAGGGTCAGGTCCAAACACTGAGCACATGTGAAGTGAGAAGGAAAATGCACAGTGGTTGAGGAAAGGGTAATATAATTATTTCTACAAGGCAATTTGGATGTTACAACTCAGTAACATCAGAGGAAATCATTTATACAGAGTATAGGTGCCAACATTAAACTCTAGCCTAACAGAGGTTTTTGTCACAGTTTATACCAGCATAGTCTATATGCTATATTTCAAAACTGTTGATTCAGGTTTCTTATTTTATTACCAGATTTGTACTTGAAAGATAAAATTCGTAGAAATAGAATGTCTTTTTCTTAGTTACTCAAAAAATAATAGAATAGAAGTATGTTACTCATTTTCAATGCAGATTTTTAAATCTATGCATAACTGTTCCTGTCAAAGAGGAAGAAATTGAGGTTATTTAAAAGTCCTCAGTTTTAAATAGAATATCTTCTAATACTAATGAATCAGCTCCAAGGTGAAGATTATTATCCAAATTCAAGTAAGAAATGCTTTTGCATAAATACACTTTGATAATGAGGTTATGAATCCTACACCATATTTTCCCTGAAAATTATAATCTTCAAATTCTGGAATATAGACATTCACGTAATAAAGTCAGTTCTATTTGTAAACTTACCAAATTGAGCTAGCATGTAGGATTATGTTGAATATAATATTCCAGCCATTGTCACAGGCCCTTAAAGATGAGTGTTTTCCCAGAAAACACTGAATTAAGATATATCTTCACAGTTCTTTTGCCTATAGCCGACAATAAGTCTGTTGGAAAAGTGCAAGAGGAGAAAATGCTCACATTGAAAATGGGAAGATTTAAAAGACTGAGAACTTGAATATTTGTTGATAATCCTTTTATTTCTATATGAAATATTAAGCAAACAGCAAGTATAGAAGGGGTTTACAAAAAAATTGTCAAAAACTTATATAACTAGACACTTTTAATTTTTTAATCCTAGATTGGGTTTATATAACAGTTTGACTCTCCAGGTCAACAGTTATATATTATTTTCACAATAAATAATAATATATTTTAAAAATTTTAAATTGATAACCCAAAGTCTTATCATGTTTACCTGATAGTGTCGTGAAAATTTTTCTCACCCTTTTTTAGCAATAGTATTGAAGTATAATTTCAGTTGCTTTAGAAGGCTCTAAACCAGCCAGCAGTGTTATCGGCTGAACATTTATTAATTGTGACAGGAACACCAAATTTATTTCAGTGCTTTAGCTTATTTACTGCTCTTTCGCCTTTGTATTTTGTATTGACAAAGTAAAATGAATATTGATAAGGTTAGATATTGATTTTTTTAATGTATAGCTTGTTCTCTGCCTCATTCAAAGTCACATACCAAAAGATAGTGGATGTCTCTGTAGCAAGGATGTAGATTTACTATTATAAAATTGAGAACTATTGAAGCAAGAAGGTTTGCCAGCAGAATGCATTTTATAGTTTGAAAAATGTCATCTGTAAAGGTGAAGAAAAGCAGTGAACAAAATAAGAAGAATGTTATTAAAACTTTTTTAAAAGGCAAGCATCAATGTTGGCTGTGGTCTGCATTTGGGTAGAAGTAGTAGCCTACTGAGGATTTGTGGCTACTGCATTTAAAAATTTTACTAACTATACAGTTCTAAATTCATTGTTATTCACAATTAGATTTGCCTGTCACTATTTTGCTTTCAATTAAAATAATATAGTGAAAATATTCATTGTACAAAGTCATCCTTTATCCTGTACATTTCAAGTTGTACAAAAGACATGCCTATTTTTTGGTATTGCTGCAAAATAGCTCTGTTTCCATGGACATGTAAGAGTTCTCAACAAGAGATAACACTGCAGCTTTTGTGATTTTTCAATTTTTTCTTCCCATGCTACTGATATTTCAACAGAAAAATAGTCTTTATGAATAATTAAGGCAGGAAAGGCAGGTTGTAAATAATAATAATTAGTGAGTGGGTTTAAAAGATATGCTTTTAAATAAGTCATATATGTGAAATGTTTGATCTAACCAAGCTGCTTTCCAAAGAGCTGGGTTTCTTCAGTTGTCCAAACTTATCTTTCTGTTGATTATATTTTTATTTTCTTTCCTCACTTAATCTATGTGAGCACCGTCAATTATCTTGTCTCTTCCAGGATTTTAAAATAGGCTTTTCTGAGGGAACTGTTGTTGCTAATTCTGAAGCTAAACTCTATCTGAATGAATAGCAAAATCCTAGGAAATATGCAACCCTTCCTCTCTTGACACATACACCACTGAGCCACCATTCAGTTCTGTGTTTTAGTAGAGTCTTAATAGTCCTCCATTATCATTTAGTTCAACAACACTTATAGACAGGGTCAGTAAACATGTAAGCTTGAAAACAGTTGCTGTTCCTGACAATGTGAAAGACTAAATCATGAAAAAATAGTCAAACTTCAGACTACCTGGAAATGCTGAATAAAATGTAAAGCCATATTTTTTTTAGTTATATAGTTGAGACTGCAGGAAAGTAAGGGAAATATTCAAGACCAGAAAACATGGTGCTGCATAGCCCGATGCCTACATGTACCAATCCTGAAACCTTTAAGTCAAGTTTGTTAGATCCTTCCACAAAAGGAGCCATGCCTGAGGGCTGAGTGTCAATCTGCTTATGAAGTCAGAACCTCTAAAATCACCATCTAAATGGACAGATTAGAAACAAACCCATCCATAGGCACAGGGAATAATAAGAATTTAGAATTTTGTTTCTACTTGGACTCCAGCTAGAAATAGCTCTGAAGATTTACAACAAAGAGGTGGCCCTCCTATGAATTTTTTATTAAAATTACACTAAGCCATAAAAAAAAATGGTCTCTGAAACAAATGCAGAACTACTTAGAGGTATGTTTTTGAGTCAGCTATTTCACCACTGTGACTAAAAGATCTGACCAGAACAATCAAAGAAAGAAAAGTTTATTTGAGGGCTCACAGTTTCAGAGGTTTTAATCCATAGAAGGCCAGCTCCATTCCTCAGGGCTCGAGATGAGGCAGAACATAGGGGCAGAAGAGAATGGCAGAGGGAAGCAGCTCATATGGTGGTCAGAAAGCAGAGAGAGAGATCTCCCCT